CCAAATTCAAGAAGGACATAAAGACTCACCTCTTCACGTCTGCATTTTAGAATCTTTGCAAAGACGTCATGTAAATATCACCCTTTTATTTCTTCAATTATGTGCACATTGATTGCTTAAATGTATAAAAGTGATTGTAAGTCACAATTATAACCATTACTATTATCCATATGTTGTAAAGCGCTTTAGAGTAATTTTACAAATTATATAGGGCGCTATATAAATGTTGTATATTATTATTATTATTATAAAGGACCGATCATTGCTCCTTAAATACATGTTAGGTTGGCCATTACATTTCCATTAATTTATTTTGACATCTGTATAGAACAAGACATTTAACATGGTCCCACTGTGTACAATTCAATATTTAATTTGCTATCAAAAGTATATGCCAATAAAATATGATTTTTGCTATATATTTAAGTGGCAAAAAATAAAAGTTATCATTTTTAGCTCCTCATTGCCACGTAGCAGGAGATAATTATGTGGTTCAATGTTAAAATTTATTTTGAGTTTCTTTCGTTTCCAGTTATCATAGAAATGGACAATACAACAGCTTTCCCTGACCACGTGACACAAGGTCCCGGGTATGACGCCGTCGGAGCGATGTGGTTCGTTATGGCTACGATATGTGTTCACGTGATAGGAACAGTCGCTTTCATCGCTTCCCATATCAACAGAAGTAAACCACACAATGACGAACAGAACCAACTCGAAATCTATCTCAGGGGCCATTGCTTCAATCAACAGGCACAGATGCTTGAATGGCATTTTTACTAGTATAAACCCCAAATGACAGGGATACACGTCGCGATCTACATAAGTATGTAGAAACGCCTAGAGGCCAGCAGGAAAGCAATTAAAGGAGAATATCAATATCCAAATTGTTTACGCCAAAATCTTTCTGAGACAGTTTTTAAAGATCGATTATATATTGATATAACGGAAGAAGAGATAGTGTGCTGTTGTTGACTGGAAATGAAATTATAGTCCAACATTTACCATCGTAACACGTTCACTTGGCATGCTGATCTGCTATGAACGCCACGACCCGACTGTTGACATCAACATTATTATGGCTTCATACTTCTAACTTTGAATACCACTAGCCCGTCCAGGACCGATAGCCAGTTCTATACATTGAATATCACTGGCCCGTCCAGGACCGATAGCCAGTTCTATAGATAGAATACCACTAGCCCGTCCAGGACCGATAGCCAGTTCTATACATTAAATACCACTAACCCGTCCAGGACCGATAGCCAGTTCTATACAATGAATACCACTAGCCCGTCCAGGACCGATAGCCAGTTTTATACATTGAATACCACTAGCCCGGCCAGGACCGATAGCCAGTTCTATACATTGACTACCACTAACCCGTCCAGGACCGATAGCCAGTTCTATACATTGAATACCACTAACCCGTCCAGGACAGATAGCCAGTTCTATACATTGAATACCACTAGCCCGTCCTGGACCGATAGCCAGTTTTATACATTGAATACCTCTAACCCGTCCAGGACCGATAGCCAGTTCTATCCATTGCATACCACTAGCCCGTCCAGGACAGATAGCCAGTTCTATACAGTGAATACCACTAGCCCGTCCTGGACCGATAGCCAGTTTTATACATTGAATACCTCTAGCCCGTCCAGGACCGATAGCCAGTTCTATACATTGCCTACCACTAGCCCGTCCAGGACCGATAGCCAGTTCTATACATTGCCTACCACTAGCCCGTCCAGGACCGATAGCCAGTTCTATCCATTGCATACCACTAGCCCGTCCAGGACAGATAGCCAGTTCTATACATTGAATACCGCTAACCCGTCCAGGACCGATAGCCAGTTCTATACATTGAATACCTATAACCCGTCCAGGGCCGATAGCCAGTTCTATACATTGAATACCACTAGCCCGTCCAGGACCGATAGCCAGTTTTATAAATTGAATACCACTAACCCGTCCAGGACCTATAGCCAGTTCTATACATTGAATACCTATAACCCGTCCAGGGCCGATAGCCAGTTTTATACATTGAATACCACTAACCCGTCCAGGACCGATAGCCAGCTTTATACATTGAATACCACTAACCCTTCCAGGACCGATAGCCAGTTTTATAAATTGAATACCACTAACCCGTCCAGGACCGATAGCCAGTTCTATACATTAAATACCACTAACCCGTCCAGGACCGATAGCCAGTTTTATACATTAAATACCACTAACCCGTCCAGGACCGATAGCCAGTTCTATACATTGAATACCACTAACCCGTCCAGGACCGATAGCCAGTTTTATACATTGAATACCTCTAACCCATCCAGGACCGATAGCCAGTTCTATACATTGAATACCACTAGCCCGTCCAGGCCCGATAGCCAGTTCTATACATCGAATACCACTAACCCGTCCAGGACCGATAGCCAGTTCTATACATTGAATACCACTAACCCGTCCAGGACCGATAGCCAGTTCTATACGTTGAATACCACTAGCCCGTCCAAAAATGATAAATATAAGTATCAATTTGTTGTCAGTTGACATTCATAAGCAACATAAGTGCCAACTACACACGAAAAATACCCAACATAAAGCGACAGCGCACTGTGCACATTGAATTTACCTTTGCCCAGTTGGTATTCATATTTTATCTACATGTTTCCAAATCGTTCAGGTCTTTCTTTTTGAGGAATCGTAACGGGACGACACATTTCAAATAAAATGGAAATTCCTGAAAGCTTTCCTGTTGACGTTCGCCGCCAGACTGATGTGTGAACCGTAGATACAGCGAGCTTGTTTATAATACAGTTAGAACGAGACGACAAAGGACATTTAAAAGATATTGTCTGTGTTGTTCTGAACATTTTGACACCAATAAGTAGACTAGTAAGAACTTAAACTTGTTCCGAAACACATTTTACTTCAAAATGAAATCTTATTTGTGTAGCAAAATACAGTAACAGTTAACCTGGATGAAGAAATCTTTCGACTGTATGTAATTTTTGAACAAGCGTATGTGTTAACATACAGAAGACGATTCTGATGTTTTATAGATTATAAATAAAAGCGCTCGAATGTGTGAAGGTGGAGGAAAGTGATGGTAAACAACTTGTACTTGCGTTCAGCTACACGGCTTATTGCGAGAAGGGTTAAAGAACATGTTGACCAAGTGTTAACATGCCAGAATTCTTGGAGACCAATCTGTGAGTTTTACAATCATTTTAAGGGAATTGAGGTGAAAATAAGGGAGGTTTTATTCGCGGCGTTTTTCACGGCAAAGACACTATCTTACTCAACTAAATTAATGAAATAAAGCACAACATCTTTAAGGAACTTTGTTTTGACTTTGGCAGGTGTTTTTTTTTGTATATATTGAATATGATTATATACATTAAATAGCACAAAAATAACAAAACAAAATATCACATAGTTGAAATATACTGAAGAAGCAGATTTTATTTTAAATTTCGAAATTTAGTTGGACAGGCCACTTTTCACAGCAGCCACAGTACTACTGACGTTCAGTTTAAACTTTGAACTACGTACTTGGATGGGTTTGTAAAAATAAGGATAATTGTTGTCTTTGTTCAGTCTGTTACATTATCAAGTTCAGATGTAAATGTTGAAACATGCATTTAACAAGAGGACAGAAATAATCAGCTATGAAAATGAAGAAAACTGTATTCAGTATTTGAACTTTAAATTACATATTTCAGCATTCAGAACAAAGACTTTTCCATCTTCTTCATGACATGCCCCTTATATATATTTACCGGTCGTTCTCTTTACTTTCGTAGTGAAATTATATTTGTAAAGAAACACTTAGCCGGACATAGTATTTATCAAAGTTTCTAGCAATTAACTGACCTTACGAACATATGACAGAAAACATGTTTTGTGCTAATTCTACCGACAGTGTGAGGTATCAACTTCACGGGAAATTTTGATGCTGAAGCCGACACCGTCGCGTAGTGGTTAAGACCAAGAATGTCAGGCATTCTGTAGCATCACGGAAATTTATGGCATAATGTTTTCAGCGATAAATCACCAGAGCTCTCGAGTAGTGGTCAATTTAGCTGGTTGAATTTGTGAGTTGATTTCGGTGTCTTTTACAATAGGTAATCTATCTAAATAATTAAAATAAATTCATATTAAAGATTGAGTGTGATCCTAGCTTTTGTTGTGTAGATAAAGATTTGTAAATGCCCAAAAACTGTAGTCTCAAACCAAATTCGATTTTTTTTTATAAATTATGAAGCCCACATAGTCCATTTCATCATATATATGACAAATTTAGTGCTGATCTTTTTTTGAAATTTTGATACATGTAATATTACAGGGGTTATTCATTGTGTAACAATATCACCATGGCCACCATACGCTGCTACCTTTGTTTGCCGTGGGTCACTTTTTCCGGGGCATATCTTATGCCCTTTTGACATCAACAAACACATTTTGTACGCCAGCACCTCTTAGAATGGCGTTGTGTCGGGTACTTACGATGCACTTTATAAAAAAATTACGACTCTTTGTTCAAAATAAATCACTTAATCTGGGTTATATCTCAAATAATCTCACAATTGACAAATTACTCCAGATAGTGAGTGGACAATGTTTCAGTAATTGAGTAATCGGCCATTACTCCCTATATTAATCGGATAATGATGGTTATAGAATTTGTCCTAGCTCTCATGGTAATTAACCTTTCCATGAAGTTTGAAGTTAATCTGTTGAAAATTATTTGAGATGTGGAGTGGACAACATGCGCTCGCCTGCCCACCCTGCTTGCTCAGGTGATATCAATACATCTTGTCTTTTGATGGGCATATCAAAACAAGACTTCAATGACTGAGGTGTAACCAGCCACCCTGTAACTACCCAACTTTTACAGATATTGCTGATCTACATAGATGTACCGTAGTGCACAGATTTCTGATACAATCGGTTCAATTCATGTGAATCAGGATCAATAATAAAGAACACAAATACTGTATCAAGGAATTGTATTTTATTTTCCCCAGGAGTGATGGTATTCTCACTCTCCTCTCTCTCTATAATTCTATAAAACAATAGAGTAATAAAAATATTGTCAACTATACGACTGGTTCATGGTTATGTACACTCATGTTTACTATCACTACACGTAGAAACGGCGCTCCTATACAACAACTGTACAAGCAGGAAAAAATATTCACAAGATTCCTCTCAATTTACACTAATCATGGTTATCACATCAGTACCATTCTCATCATCACCCAAACATTGTTCACAGAAACAGATTAAATATAATATTATTTTTATTATAAAGTTCATGCAGTATTTGGGTGAAAACAATAACAACAGTGATACCCTTTGTACAATTATTTTTTTGGAATTTTTTGGTAACATATTTGGTGTATTGTTGCATCAAATTTCTACAGCTTCAAACACTGCTATGTACATTTTTCTGTGATATTCCAACACAAAGAATTGACACAACAAACAGTGGGGACACATACTTGGTGCAGAATGTATACATGGACAGGAAAATAATCTAGTTTTAATTGCACAGACTGAAAACGTTGGTAGGTAGCTATAGCTAGGAAGGGGCATACCAGGAGATACAGGAATTGGTAAAATATCAATTCTTTAATAAATTTTAGGCCAACACAGGCATATCAGAAATACTATTTGAAGTGTACAACTTCCAATCAAAAATTCTTTTCATTTTTCCACAGATACTTGAATACAATTTTGAAGGACGTTTATTTATTATCCCCATATCTTCATCTCATGTATTATATTTGAACATGTTGGGATGAAAATAGATCTGTGTAGTGAGGCACTGTGGATATGACATTGACCTTAAGGATAACAAAGATTAAAGGGCATGACCTTGACCTACACGTCTGTTAGTGACCTTGATTAACCTACACAAAATCGACTCCTAAGTTTGACTACACTATTGGAATCTGATAAATATATGGTTTACTCATATTTAAATTCCTATTCAATTTCCTTTTTTTTCTGACGTAAATATAGTTGTTACATTAAGTGTCATAATTTGATGAGGACATTTTGAGAGTTACAGTTTAGATGGGGCTTTAGTCACTACCATGTTTGAAACGGTGGTGAATGTCAATCAAAACACTGATGGAGATCCATCACAAATATATATATAAACAAATTCATGGATAACAGCGATAGGGATGAAAACTGATTTTCCCTTATCAGAATGTAATAACTTATAGGTGTTACATGAAGTGGGGGTATGTAAATAGTATGGTTAATTATAAAATTTGAGGTGGATATTTCATAATTAGTTAGAGAAGATATGGATGAAATGAACACATGTAGCACTACTGACTTACAGTGTTAATACCACACCTGAAGAATGTGTCGACTGGTGACCTCATTCACTGACCTATATACATAATGATCCTAACCACCCTACCCTGACGGCCCAAACTGACCCACAATCTCAGCCCTGGACACAAAGTTCTGCATGAATCACATACCAATTCATTCCTTACACATTTTTTTTACATGCATTAAAATAATAACTTAGATTTAAAATGAAAAAGCGCCCTGCCAAAAAGCAGCTTCTGGTTTTGGGTACAATGATAGCGGTAGATATAGGTTGTCTGCTATTATACTTCTTTAAAAACTATAAGGCCTTATTAATGTTGTACACATATATAAACAATCCTGTTTGACACCAACATGCCAACATTTCAACCAAACCAAATAAATATGTGTCACCATGTCCATGTGATGCTACAAAGGATGGTGAAGATCACATTTTCAGGTGACCTTGACCCCTAGTTAACCTCTGGCATCAATGTTACCTTGGTAACAAACCCTATTCCCTTAACAACACATTACAACAAAAATCCATTATCCAATACAAATCCCATTGTATTTGGTTGGAAAGAAAAATAAAAAGTTTTCTCCTTATGTCGAAGAAACAGGTTAAAATACATGCAAAAAAAAGTAATAACACTAAAAAACATTTCTGTCCATCATATATCAATATATCACAGAAATATTTGTTTTAATAACATAGATAACAGATGATCACCAGTAAAAGCACAGTAAGATAGGAAGTATAGATGGATAAAAGACTAAAGTGTTCTAAAACAAGCGTTGAGTATAGAAAATAATGTAGCAACATGCAGGAATAAATAATAAAGGAAGCTATGCTCCTAAATATATCTAGAAACAAGGTCTGTATTTTCAAAGTTGTAAACATGATCTGCAATATCAAATGAAATCGAAGAAAAACTATCAAAAACAATTTTGAAACACACTGTGCACCAACAGAAACAAGACTTTCTAATGCGGGATGATGTTAAAAGTAAAACAAATTGGGGATACATTGAAATGTCTTATAATCACGTAGGTTTGTTAAATAATTACTGGAACATGATATAACAATATCAATGCCATTTATAACAGTGAGTAACAAACAGTTAATACAATGATGTCGTATCACATTTTTCTGGTTCACATCAGTAAGTTCTTCATTAGCACAGGGTGACAATGTTGAACAAAATCTCGATTGAAAAATGTTTCATTTGTATCAGCGACAAGAACATGATTAGAGCCTGTCTCGCTTCTAGTTAATCTGTTTTCAATGTAAACTCCGACTCTTAGTGTTAAAAAACACACATTTAAAAGATGATTCTAATAACAATACTATAAAATATAAATATAAAACAATTCAACAGGCCTAAATATAATGGAGTCATCTAATGCTGTGTTCAAATCACTTCATAATGATAAGTTAAAAAGAATCCTTGATAAAATTTGATTCCCGAAAGTTTAAAACAAAAATGTCCAAATAAAACAAGAGTTATCTGCACCTGTTTGGCCCATTTAAGTAATATATCATCTTTTCTCAATTAGACTAAATGTTTTTGTCTGCTTATGAAGAAATTGACCAAAGATGTGGTCACAGAACAAAATGAACATACAATTTTTATACAAAGGCATTGAATTGACTAGAGAACTTCCTACTAATTTCTATTCCATTGTTTTTTTCATTTCACAAAATCAAATAAATATCTTCAAACGGCAAAATGTACACTTTATAATCCATAAAAACATGGGTTCTAGCTAGGAAATTTCTGATAACAATTGTTTGGGTTTTCCATTTTAGTTATAAAAGTCTGTGAATTAAATTTTCTATGATTTCGAAATATTTCATTTCACTTCTATCACAACTCATTTTTTATGATCAACATTTAATGAGTTTTTCTTCCCTGCTCCCTCATTCACTAGTAGTTCACAGAATTTCCAATCATTGCCTCCTAATTTTCTGAGATATTTAAATTAATTTCTGTAGTTCTCCCAGCAATAGGAGAAATTAATATGCTAACTGTTGTTCATAGAATTGGATTCTTCTGAATTCATTCATGATTAAACAAAGTCACGGCAGAGATGTTGTAACTTTTGATGTGCATAGTAAGTTAGATTTGGTATCACAGCCCCTGGCGAGATCGCTGTCCACCCCACAGCTATCGTATCAGGGTGGTCTTAGTACTGCGAGTATGAGGAACCGACCTGAAAGAAAAGAAAAAGTGTTTGAATAAATATTGCAACTTAATTCAGAAATATTAATTTTCTGTCCAATATCGTGCTGTTATCAGAAATTTGTGGAAACATCACCAAAATTTTGGTATGAAAATTATCTCATAGTGGTAACATCTGTACTAATGCTAGGGTTCACTGATTTTGAAGATACATGTACATTGTAACAATCAGATGACAATCAACTGTCCCACAACTAATATCAATTAATAAGTGTAAAACCTGTAGGTATACACACACATGTATCGATACTTGACACTGTTGAAGACTTTCACTATGTGATATAATATCGACACTTGTTTTCTCAAAAATAAGTTTTGAGATAGTTTGGCCTTATCATCAACACAAGCTTTTTTCTCTAACACAAAACTCACAACACAACATAGCTGACTTTTGAAAAGTTTTTGCTTGACACAGACAGTTTTTGAGGTAATATTCTCTTAAAAAGACAAGGTGCCCCGTTTGAAAACGGATATCAAATGTCAGTATAATGAAATTTAACATGTAATATTCTGGACCAAAAAGTTAAGCTTAGTCATTATGGTGTGTAAGTCTTTTTTCTTCTTCTCTTTCTTCGTTAATTTACCAGAAATATACATCTACTGAACATCGCAGGCAGATAACATTGATCACAGGTTTGATAACCTTGATTATCATTTTACAACTTAATTGTGTAAAATTGCACAAAAGCAATAAACAATATAATGTATACCGATATAGCGTACAATAACTGTACAATATGGATGATGCTGTATGTGAACACTCCACCACACAAACCATGCACTTCATAGTTTCATAGGCCAGAAGGGGAAAAAAAGCAAGAGGAAATCGCAATGATGTCGGTTAAAGGTGAAAGATCGCAAGAAACCACCTTTATTTCAAGGACACCCAAGCTGTGCGTCTTCAAAATCACTCCAATGTCCTGACAAATTACTTCAATACAACCTACAGTCTACAGTAGAACCAATTCAAACCTTGGTAAACCTAGACATTCTGGAGGCTGGTAGCATCTATTTTTAAGTATGTGAATAAGCCAATAGCGTACATTTCTTATTTCAGATTTCATTTTTTAGAAACTGAAGTGTCCATCCAGAATAATGACATTCAACCGTAAGATTGACCAATCACCTTACATAAAATCTTTTTCTTAAAATCTAGGGATGACTATCTGTCTACAGAGCTGCCCAGAACACAAACAGCCAAAATCCATTTTTCCAACTCAAAAATAGGTTCCACAGGAGCACAAGCACGCCCTACATCCATTTTTTTTAAGGTCAAGTATACAATGTTTATTGCAATGGTGTAGTACACTGAACTCAGTCCATAAATGCCGAGTCCTTTACAGTATCAATATATTTAGGTATCTACCACGCACCCTTTTTTTTGTAGTGTAGAAATGGAATATAACTGAATATGCTACAGTCGCAATTTGTATTCATTTAAAAATCAATACAAACCCTGCACCAAGATATGAACTACTTCCCTAATAATTTGTATATATCTGTAGAAAATGATGGCATTACTCAAAACACAGAGTTGGCCAGTACAGTAAGATATGTACATTGTGAAACTTGGGGGGGGNGTGTATTTTCTGCTTCTCTCCTGTCCACACAATTCCAATAACTGAGCTGGAGTATACAATGGTCTGGAGGGTGTGTGTGTGTGTGTGTGTGTGTGTGTGTGCTAGTGTCTGTGCTGTCAAATTCAAGTGAGGTGGTACTATGGAAGGATACCATTGGAATCACCGCCCACCACCAGAACACTTCTATACCTGCTATCCCTCCAGGCACACACATGTGGAGGTATTCAGGCTGGTGGCATATGACCAGTAGTTAGTGCCTGATAAGGCAGCTCTTGCAAAATCCTCAACTTGTCTGTATGAATTGTATAATTATGTAATTAGCTTAGACTGGTTTATTCTAGTAAGAATTAAAGGGCACTGTTTCTAATGTCATACAATAACGATAAGAACCTAGCCAATAGTGTAAGATAGGTACATGTAAACATGTACTACATCGATATCTACCTCACAGCACTGTAAAGATCCCTATTTTATAACATTTTATCTTGGCATTCACTAATAAAACATTGGTGAAAATAGGAAAACAACATATGGTAGGTCTTAATGTTGAAGAAAATTTACATTTCACATGTCAAGCTGAGTTACATAGAAGTAGCCTAGGCGTTGACCAACAACCCTGGGTATGTCCAATCATAATTTCCTGTCAGTTTCAATTGACCACATTGAAGTTTCATAATATCATAACAGAAACCAAATATCTGAAAGACAAGTAGTTGAAAGAAGGAAAGAAAATAGTAGTGAGTTAGAAGTGGAATACGTTAAGGTCTGTTGTTGAGTCCCACAAACAACCTTCAAAGTCACACGAACACTCACCACATCCACCAAACCTGGCCAACAGTTGTCCTTTGAAACTTCCCAAGAACTTACCTCTCAGAGTTTAAGTAAAAGATGTCAGAAAACAAAGGATGTCACAGCACAAAGGTGGTACATTCGAAATCCTCCGATCAACCGGAGCCAAAACATGAAAACAACATGTAGGACATGAAGGACATCATTACTATAACACCCAACACCTTTCGTAAATCTACAGGTATTAGCGTGTCAGGAAAAGAAACAATTTTATAGAAAACAGTTTTTCTAGATATGTTTGTATACAGTCAACATCCACAGCACAACTATATATGTATCTTACACCGTTCCCTTCAAATGAGATGCCAATATTAGTTTGTGGTCGCTTAGTAACCTGGCAATCAGAAAAGGTGTTAATGTGAATAGCTTGTACAGTATATTCAACAAAAAGTTCATCAAGCATGTTATATTTCCCAAATACCAACATCTTCCCAGAATCTACAACATTCACGACAACTGGAACAAGTTGGTCACAGCCCCCGTTTATAACCTTAGCAATGCATTAATATTCTAGATCTCTTTCAAGGTTTTACACCAATGTGTTTATGTGGATCTTCTAAACATTTTTGTGATATTGACCCTTTACAAAATGTAAAAAAATAATTCAGTTTGAAAAATGGAATACCAATGTTCCAATAAACACCATTAATATTTTTATTTTTGAAAAATTTCATTATATTTTTGTTTGTATTGTGATAGTGAAACAATGTTTTCTGTCAATTATCAATTGAAAACAACAAAAACGAAAAATAATCCTGAAATCCAGTGGACTCGTTGCACATTGCTAAGATATGTATCTAGGGCTTCAAAGCAGCTTGTTCCTGATACCATCCAACTATCTAACTACCGGTAACCTAGATTGCCACAGCCTTCTCCTGGAAAATCCGAGTAGACTTCTTATCATTTTACAGGTATAAGAATGAATTGATAGGTGCAAAAAATTAAACACTATTCCAAATATCTTAGATAGCAGTTTATTTGATATAAAGTCTTTATGTACTAATTTTTCACAAATTGTCTCATATCTTTCTTTGACATTTTAAAATTCAAAAAGACATTGCAGTATTTGAAAATGATAGAATCAAAATGTATCAATTGATAATTAATTTAAAAATAAAACTGAGTTATTTTCATCTTGTCACTTCAATCAAAATGGTAAATATCTTACTCTGAGCTATGACAGTAAATAAAAACATTTAGAAATGCCCCAGTTCAACAGGATTTCAAGCTTGTTCCAATAAGGTGCAAATATCTATGTCAGTTATGACAAGTGTCAACAGTTACGGTGGCTGAAATACAAAGGTGAGGAGTATACAAATGTCTACACCGTATATCAATGTGAGACTGGTGAGGGTTAGTGTGTTAGGACAGAGCGTAGTAGTGGCTACATAGAACAACTACACACAACGATGAAACCGTCAACACGGAAGCTGATTAAGACGAAGATGATGAAAATGATTAATTAACTTACTGTAGAGGAACGTAACTGATATTTGTACGGCCATGAGCTCAGGTCTGCCGAAGTATTATACAGGTTGCTTTTAAAATCCTTGTTGAGTCTATTCTCAAGGTAGTCTTGTGAATCATTGTCATATCTGCTTGAAGAACTGCTGTCAAGGGAGGCAATAGACACAAGCGAATATGCATTAGATTTTGGAAAGAGAAATACTGATTACATTATAGGAAGAGGAAAAGCCATGACAGCTGAGATTAAATGTAATATTATCAGCCAGTTTTACTTTTTTCTTCTTATAAATCCATGAATTGTTGCAAATGGAAATAGCAAAGATATTGCAGTTTTTTTAATATCTTGAATTTTGAAATCAATTGACCGCTTTTTATATGGATAGTTGGTTGGGAAGGAATGAATGATGGTAAGGTTAGCACCAGTTAGGTGGTTAAGGCTGACACCAGTATACATGACAGAGGTTAGCTGTTGTGAGACAACTACGTAACACCACCACACTCTACACGGCTCACCACTGTAGCTAGTGATGGTAACCCTGTAAACGCCACACAAATCTAGTTCTACTAGTAGTGCTAACAGACATCCCACCACTTTGTTAACTCTCGTGAAGCCCCACTAGCCTGCTACACCCAAAAGCCTGTATTAAGTCAGCGATCCCCATTGTATTACACACAACACTTTGATATGTGCCACGACTGATGAGGACTTGCAACCCGGGGATGAAGTGACACTGTGATTTAGAACTAGGTGATTATCAGGTGTATTTGGCTTTGCTGTATTTACAGTGGGTGATGTAGTGCTAGGTGATAGTATTTGGCCTTGCTGTATTTACAGTGGATGCTGTAGGGCTAGGTGATAGTATTTTGCCTTGCTGTATTTACAGTGGATGCTGTAGGGCTAGGTGATAGTCTATTTTGCCTTGCTGTATTTACAGGAGATCATGTAGTGATAGGTGATAGGTGTATTTGGCCTTGCTGTATTTACAGATCATGATGTAGGGCTAGGTGATAGGTATATTTTGCCTTGCTGTATTTACAGTGGATGATGTAGGGCTAGGTGATGGTATTTGGCCTTGCTGTATTTACAGTGGATGATGTAGGGCTAGGTGATGGTATTTGGCCTTGCTGTATTTACAGATCATGATGTAGGGCTAGGTGATAGGTATATTTTGCCTTGCTGTATTTACAGGAGATCATGTATGGCTAGGTGATAGTATTTGGCCTTGCTGTATTTACAGTGGATGATGTAGGGCTAGGTGATGGTATTTGGCCTTGCTGTATTTACAGATCATGATGTAGGGCTAGGTGATAGTATTTGGCCTTGCTGTATGATGATTGAGAAAGGCTGCTTTAGGGAGGCAGCAGTATATTGGAGATAAGGTGGGTGTGGGTTTACTTACAAATTATCAAAATATTGAAAACAGAAAATGTAAAACTAAAACTGAAGTCACAACATAGGACTAAGTCACATTGTTAAATTAAGACTGAAGCCGCAATGCAGGACTTAGACTGCAGTGACAATGTAAGACTAAGATTGAAGTCACAATGTAAGACTAGGACTCAATTACATCACGATGAAAAAAAAAAATGACTAAGACTGAAGTCACAGTTTAAGACTAAGACTGAAGTCACAGTTTAAGACTAAAACTAAAATCACAATGTAGGACTAAGATTGAAGTCGCAATGTAAAACTAAGACTCAATTACATCACAATGTAAGACTAAGACTCAAGTGACAATGAAGAATTAAGAATTTGGGCAGAATGAAAGATCACAAGCATTTATTTAAACACACAGTTAAGTTTGGGTATTGCTATAGCTATCCAACAAACAAAAGGTGCATGTCACAAGTTGGTGAATTAAACAAATTGTTTAGTATTTCACAACTTTATGGACCAACAGTGGGTGGAGGGCTCATGGAGGATGTGATTGTAGACCCAGATGAACTGAAATTAAGTGATAACAAACAGTTGGTGAAGTGAATACCTGAAGTGTGCTTCTCAGTGATTTTAGATGTCAGGGAATATATGGCAGATTTCCATTATTTTATACTCCCAGGTCCTTAGATACAAAGGACAGCCCTTGAATAATGGAGGAATAATAAACTAATAATAAATCCTTCTTTAAGTGTTTTTTGGAAAGACTGAAGTGAATCTCTGTGATGAAGTAAGTTACGTGGATGCTTTCAGTTCAATTCAAACTACACAGAAAATCACTCAAAGAGAGGAACTTTTATAAACCTACATATAATATTTACATGAATACATCTCCATTACATATTTCAGCTCCAAATCTCTAACTTTGTCTATTTGGATTAACTCCTTATTTTACCAAAACTGAAAGATTGGTATACTCTTCCTTAGTTTATCCTCTGAATATCAACGAACAAATCCATGTAAACAACACCGGTTTCTGATCAGGAGAAGTTGATTAACAGTAAGTATTTCCATGCAAATGCATCCTTAGTTTTTAGAGGTTAATTCTTTTTGCATGTCCCTAACACTTCTCAACAAATGTATTCATAAAATGATACATATATATATATAAGATGTGTAAGGACAACAAGATTATCAGTCAGATATACTTTTCCGAATCTGTAAGAGCCATATTCCAGAATGACATAAATGACACGAGTGATGGAGAGTAAGCTCTGGATAAGTGGTGGGGGTCAGAACAAATCATTATCTCCCCCCCCCCCAATCAAATCAACTATTCATTTATTCATTTCTGGAATAACCTTATCATGATTACTTGTAACAATTTCCATTTTAAGTATTAAAACACTGATCAGAAGCTTGCTCAAAACCATTCTACAATGAATACATAAAATGAGAGTGACAGGGAAAAGGTAGTAAATGAACATAAGAAAATGGTAAGGAGTGGACATTCCAATGTGATATTTTATCATCCAGCAATGACATGATTCAAACAATTGCTCAGAACAGTTTATATAGCAAGGCATCTCACACGCATGCCCATGCTCAAAAGCATGCTGATGTTCAAAAGTATGTTGATGCTCACAAGCATGCTTATGCATGAAATAAGATAGCAAGCCTACTGCAAGTAATATCAAACCAAGCTCTCGCCAGGAAATAACAAGAAATTTCAGCAAATTTATCCCATTACATTCTGGACTTCAAATATATAAAATAAACCTGAGAAGCCCAGAGATGAACATGAGTGCATTATTAGGTATGGAGCAGGTTTTATCTAACTGCTGTCCTACAATACAGTGTGCTAATCACTGCTGCTATGACAGACAGTCCCAAATTGAACTGGTTGCTATGACAGCCGAATACAAATGATCACATACATATTTGTCTACATAGGTTAAACAGCAGAAGGAATTCACTCCCTGTGGTGCATGATGGGTATCATATTGTCTGGGAATTTAAAGAAGAGACAAGAATGACTACTATGTTACCAGATTAAAGACAACCAAGAAGGAATAACATACAGTGTACACTCACAGCTGTATCAGTATTTACTAACACAACTATAAACATTGAACATCACAAATTTACTAAATTGACTGCTTCCAACTAACATGGAAAGTCGAACAAGAGTTTTGAAAATATTTCAAAAGTGAGAAATATTTTTTTTTTAACTCAATGTTATATTTCGTTTGCTTTTGAATAAATAAAGTGAAGCACATTTATAAAACATCCCAGAAGATCATTTGTTCAACAAATACGTACAGTGTATACTTACTGCATTTGGAAATGTTAAATGGAAGCTATCCAGAATTACAAGTCCAAGAGAACTTCATACATACATAGAGACAGAATTATATGATAATTGCTCTACAGATAAAAAATTGATGGACAATGAATCAAACAAAGCCATCGGTTTTGACTATATCACATTATCTCCAAAATACATCCATGCAAGTGGTATCCAAGGTAACAGGAAAGTAACAACATCCAGTCAAATCAACACCTAAAGCTGTCCAAAATAGGATAGAAAACGACAATGGATTGTGGTAAAGGATAAACAAACTTGGAGAGATAAAGTGAGAGCTATGTAAAAATGAAACAGAAACTGAGGAGCCGACGTACAGATAGATGAACAGCCATTGTATAACTGGAAATGAAGTACAGAAAATAACAACTGATCAGTGAGATGTTTTACAAAAAAGTAACTGTCAGCCTCAATTTTAACATCTTCAAAATCCTAGGGCTTTGCTCGCAATACACACATCTTCTTCGCACGCTTGGAATATGTCATGCTTGCAGTTAGCTTTGATTAGTTTCAGTTGTATTAAGCTGACCAATTGATTGATACCTGTACTTTGAAGAGGAACTACACCTAAATTTCAAAGCTGGTCGACTTATTGTTTTACGATGTGATTCCTTTCATCTTGATCAAAGACATGAGTCTAAGCCTTCAATTTTCAAAGACATAATCCAAGGGTTTAAAAGAGAATATACACCAAGGGCAGCCCATTTGGATTATGGAGATGTAGTTTTAAAGAGCTGTTACTTTAAGTCAAAACCAGATATATGTACATTTTCTTGTCAGAAAAATGACCTATGTATAGTATATGTTCATAATATATCAACCAATCAAATTAAACAAAGTTCCAGTCACCCGACTAGGTAACACTTAACTGTTTAATCGTAAATCTTAGTTTTATATTTATTCCTCCCAAAGTGATATATCAATTATACAAAGTCTAACACCATATACTTCCATTGTTATTTTCTTCTATCTAAAAAAATACAGAGTAGCTAATATCCTTATTCAGACGTTAATAACATTTTTATTACATGAACACATACAACTCGTATTAAAAAATGCCCGCTGACAACACATAATATATACGTTACATTAAAAATCAACACTCCCCAAATTAATGTAAAAAGTCAAGTCCAACAAAAACCCAAGCCTACAAAAATATAAAAATTTAGACAAAAATAAAACAACAAAAAACATCACAGCTGGATAATAAATTAGGTTTGACTGTACGCAAGCATGCAGTGTAAGAACCAAACGTGAGGATCGCTGAAGGAGTAAAAATAAATCACAGGTCCGTTGGACCAGGGTACTAAGTAAACGCCAGTATATATCTCGTTAGGCCAATAGATACCTTGTGCCCATGGCCTTCCTCAGGCTATAGGTGTGGGAGTGGTACTTTCTACAAAACCAGAAGGCGACATTTCATATACAACTTCAGAAGTTGATAAAAAAAAAGAAACATTTCATATGCTTCAAACCCAATTTTTTGATGAAAAAGTCAAATCAGTAATCTTTTTCACACATGTTAGTTAAAAGCGTCTCTGTACAACAACATAATGAAAATTAATTATATTTCAACATAACACCATGTGTAACTTCATCTGATTCTTTTAGCTTCAAAAATTGAATCATAAAAAATATGTGTCATCAACCGAGCATTATATAAAAAATATATATATAAAAAAACAGTCTTTTTAAAAACCTATAACCACAAATTTGCAACAAGACAAACTCACATACCCACAAACGGACATAAAAAAATATCTTCTCAAGTTAAAAGTTGTTTCCTGATGAAGTATTAATAGTAGGTATAGTTTATTCTCATGCATATAATCTCGAATCACAAGTTTTCCTTTGAAAATACATTGAATATATTTGTTCTCAAAGCGGACTATCTAGTTTACACCAAGGTAAGAAATGAGATGTAAAAATCCCCTGCTCGTTTTTCTTTTTTAATTCACAATAATACAAGGAACAGTTTTAGTTCAAATGGTGACTGTGTGAAGAAATATGGACAAGAGGAGGAGGAGAAGGAGGATAAAAGCATTTGAAAGGTCATGAGGTCAAAGTGCAAATCTGGATTGCAACAGCCTGATAAATTCAAGCGATGTACCATACAGCATTCAATGGAATCCAAGTCTGGGTCAATGAAGTTTTACATACTCAGGATAAAACACACATGGGGTCAATTTTAAACTCTATCTTACCTTTTGGCACTAGTGGAGGAGCCAGTCGCATGGCGTGTGTTCCGCTTGACTGATGATGTTGAGTTGCTATGGTTGTTGCTTACAGTGCTGACCTTTGAGGCCTTCAGAGGAGACATTGCCGTGCCCGAGTGAGCACTCTTTGACCCAATGGGGCGGAAAGGCTGTGTTGTTGATCGTTTGTGGCCTTTTCCGTCGTCGTGCCTAGATTAAGAGGAAGAGCAGTGTAACTCCTAACCCTAATTGGGGAGGAGGTCGAGTCGATGGAAGATAGAACAGCCACACCCAACACTCATACCAAACACTCTCACAAGCACTAGCATGGAAACAGCACTAATCAAGCTTAGCTAGGTACACACTAACCAAAGGTAGAATATACTGGTGTGATACAAACTGAAATTCAGGAGATATTGTATCCTGGTCCACGATCCAGGGGTTAAGCTCACTTTCGCTCCCTACACCCCTGGAATATGTCATAGCAAAATTGAAGGCTCAGGGTGAAGCACCTTGAAATTGAGATGAGAAGACTAGTTTGATTCTTTGATGTACATCAAAAGAATCTCACGGTCTCGTAGCGGTAAAAATTGACAGGCTTTGAAGTTGGGCGTCTCTCCTTTGTAATCTTAAAACTACAGGTATCAGTCTAGCGATTGGTCAGGTTTTTTTTACCCGAGACCAATCAAACAGCTATCTTCGTGCCTTTAATTTTGCTTTGATATATTCCGGGGGTGTAGAGAGCGAAAGTGAGTGTAACCCCTGTATATCGATGATGGAGATATTGTTTAAACATAGAAATAAAAAGACCTTGTTACCAACAATACAATTGTGTTTAAAATATCAGTGCATATAGGCACAAATCGATGGAAAAACTGTCCTCTTCCAGAGAATTAACTCAAAATTGATATCATAGGCACACCAGGCTCAGCACATGTATTGGGTAATAATCTACAGTACAGAAAAAGGGAGCTTTTAAGCTTTCAGTTCACTAAACTGTTAAACAAAAAGTTTCGTTTATCTACATTCTCAAATATTCTTCTGGGAAACGGAGGCAAACAAACCTTTTTCATAAAATCTGAACGAAAATGCAAGGTATTTATTTCTGAATTGAGATTGATGAATACTTACCCTACAGCTCCAGTAGTGGCAGAGCGAGCATGCTTGGAGCGGAGGAGTTTCATCTGGTTCAGTTTGTCTCCTTGTGTCTCAATCAGACTACCTCTTGTAACAGGACCGGAATACTGAAACGTTATAAAATCAGACCTCTTTAAATCTGTATTCTCCTTAGTAGATTAGTAATTGTCTGAAAAAGAATTGAGCACTGATATGAAGAACAATTTGGACATTGTCAAACATGACAGTAATCTTGTCCTACCTGTAAGCTATGGCACTTTTATGCAAACAAGAAATTTGACATATTTCACATCATTCACACATTTAATAATAGTTAAGCACACTGGCAACTTCCAGCAGGTATCACTCAAACTCCCTTTCATTTGAGATGACTTTATTTCACATACTAACATACAAAACTATATTTGAAAGTATCCATATTTTCAACACAGGCTGCCAAGAAATCTATTTTATTATTTTAAGATTGTTTTAAATGGTCGGACACAAGCTAGCCTGAATGTCTGGAGACAAACCAATGGCTACTAGCACACTAGGTTCAAACGGTCTAGATATCATTATAATTTAAAGATCAGAAAAATGTAACTTCAAGCTTAACAGTAATGAGATGATATCACTCATTGTTTGGTATTAGGCAGGTTTTCTGGATTGCAAGATTCTGGACTAACAATTAATGCTACATCATATTCTGATGCAGATGATAAAACAACATTTGACTGATGTTTGTTATTTTGATCAATGACTTAAAAGTTTTCAAGATAAAAATTTGCATCTTGTTCAAGGTATAATAAATCAATTTTACAAATTAGAGTAAAGGAATAACATACAAGATGAGATTCTGCCTCAAATGCATATTTCTCATTTTCCAGTGCATCTTGAATCCTCATGTCGTCAACACCAGAGAGTATTTTGGAGACACTGTGATGTCTGTCTCGTTTCCGATCATTTTCCTTCATCTTTGCTCTGAATAGATCTCCCTGCATCCAACACCATGCTTGTTTTCTGGAATGGCAACAGTAAAACTTCAGTACTTTCACCTAACCAGATAACCAGCAGGTTTATCCTTGTCCTGGCCTGTGCTGTTAATTTTCACTAATACTGATATTTATTGTCCTGGCCTGGCCTGTTAATTTTCACTAATACTGATATTTATTGTCCTGGCCTGGCCTGTTAATTTTCACTAATACTGATATTTATTGTCCTGGCCTGTGCTGTTAATTTTCACTAATACTGATATTTATTGTCCTGGCCTG